AAAATCAAAAAAGTGAGATTTCTAAAAAGTCTCCATAGAAACTCAATGTGAATTTATAAATAATTTTTTATTTTACTAATATAAAAATGATATTCAAAGTTGGTATTTATTATAAACCTTAATATTTTCACAAATTTAATCAACTTAAAGAACAATGACCAAATTTTATAGGGGCATTACAATGCTGGTATTTTGGAAAATTAATAACAAAAATATCAAATTAAGATGTAACCAATGACCAAGTTACTCTATTTCATCATGTTCGTGTATAGACTCTATAGAGGCAGGTAATTTAAGATCATCAATTTATTACAATGTTATTTATAAATAAGTTCAAATTCTAATATTTGAATGCTGTTTTTCTGTAATTTTCTGTAATTATTACTCTATAAAAACCGTTATATTGTTGTAAGTATAATAGAAAAATACTACATTTTTATATTGTCTGAATCATCGTATCTTATACTCTATAGAATTATCAATATTAATTTACATAAACTTACTTTGGGATACCGTTATTTTCCAAAAATTTCAAAAAAACCTTTGAAATAAATTTAATGACTTGAACAATTTATAAATAACGTAAATCGTACTAATTTCCGTAAATCTAATATTTTTGGACTCTAAACCCGAACATGATAAAATAAAGTAACTTGGTCATTGTCTGCACCTTAATTTATTATTTTTGTTATTAATTTTCCAAAATACCAGCATTGTAATGCCCCTATAAAATTTGGTCATTGTTCTTTAAGTTGATTAAATTTGTGAAAATATTAAGGTTTATAATAAATACCAACTTTGAATATCATTTTTATATTAGTAAAATAAAAAATTATTTATAAATTCACATTGAGTTTCTATGAAGACTTTTTAGAAATCTCACTTTTTTGATTTTGAAATTATTAATTAACCATAGTAGTTACACAAATAATCTTAATTAGTAAATTAGTCTTCATTATCCACAGAATCATTCTGTGAAAACAGCTTTTTGATTAAACCATCGAGAGAGATTTTATTCAACAAATTAAAAATCAAACTGTTATGTCCTTGCGTGTATATGTAAAGATCACACTGTAATGTATTGTAATGCTTGTGCTGATAAAGATTATTTGATGAATGAATAAAATATTTAACTTAATAATTCTATTTTATTTTTAATTTTATTTATATTTTACATTGGAGTTATAAATTATCTATTATAGTCGTTATTATAACTAATATTTGCTACATAACTATTTTGTGCTATTTGTTGGACTATTTTTACAATCTATACCTTAATCATTTGCCTATTATTAGGCCAGTCTACATGTTATTCGTTAGCCTATTTTTAGGTCCACTCTACACGTATACAGTAAAACTTTTTATAGGCCTGTCTACATGCTACGTTCATATTTTCACTCAACGCGGGAAGGGTTAACTTGTCCCATTTAATGTTTTATTTTATATTAATGATTAAGAAAAATAAACAATTTTATTATATCTTATTTGATACAAACATACAAAATTCAGATCATTTAATTTTTGTT